GGAGGGAGGAAGGGAGTGCAGAGGAAAAGCAACCAAAGACACCCCAGACTTACCACCCAGAAGCTGGGATGGCATGTGGGGCCCCTGCACACACAGCACCGACTGACGCCCAGACCAGTAGCGCTGCCCTGTGCCAGGCACCGTGCAGGGAGTGCTGGGCGTGCAAGAAGGGATGCGCTGTGCCCCTGCCTTCCTGGGATTCCCGAGCACACAGGGCACCCCGTGTCAAAGTGCATGCTTCTGTATCAGTTAGGGAACAACATGGTCACATACGCCTTACGCAGTTGACTGCTCACCGGGAATTCAGTGATTTGGATCCACCGGCTGCTCCACAGAAGAAAAGACCTGGAAGTCTCTTCCATGAAGATTCTGGCCTAGGGACTTCCTGCCCCCCCCCCCAGCCCCCGGGGCAGTTCTCCTCTGTCTCGTGGAGCCTGTGGGAGTCTGAATCGACTCTCCAACATGCAGCAGCAACAGTAGGCAATGAAAGCCCTGGGAGGAGGGCAGGTGTTCCAGCAAGAGCAGCAGATACAACTATAAACACCCTGTGGCAACCAGCAGCCATGAAGTGGGGGATAAGCTACAGGTGGATAGACACGCAGGCTGAACAGGTATGGGACAGAGAATAAATAAGGAATCCCAAATATCTCCGTGGTTTCACACCCTGGACATTCTCATGCAGACCAGTCCCTTGGGGGTGTCCAGTGTCCAGCAGGCAACCTACTGCATGATGATGCTGGGACCCAGGCTCCTTCCATGTCGTGGCACCCTGGTCACTGTGGAGAGGAAGGAGCAAGGAGCACCTTATAAGTAGGTTTCTGTGAGCCCAGCACTTTCCATTAGCCGGAACCAGGCAATGTCCCCCACTGAAACCGGAAGGCTGGGCCCTCTAGCCCTGGCCTGGCAGCCTCTTCCCCTGGAAGGCAGCATGCCGATTTGGGGGGCATGGGCCATTTCTGTCTGGGGTGGCCAAAGATCCCCTTCACCCAAGTCTCCCTTCAGGTCTCTTTGACCCCCATCCTTGAGGGAGGTGACCGGTACCGATGTGCACACACACAGAAGAGAAGGCCCCCCACAGCCTCTCCTGGACAAAGGAAGCCCTTCCCTCCCGCTCTCGGGAATCCCCTGCCCGTAGTGAACTTACATTTCCAAGGGCTGAGAGCAGTCTCATTAGCTAGTATTAACCAGGGAGACTGCGGATGGTCCAAACCGTTTATACCCTCAGCTGCTGCTTCAAGTCCACCCAGAAGCGCCTTGGAAGAAAGACCTGGGTGACCCATTTCTAAAAACCCTGTGGCACACAGTTCAACGCTGACACGCAGGGGGCACCGGGAGTCAGAATTGCCTTTAGCTGAGCGACACCGTGGTGGTCGCCAAGAACACGCACCTTACAAAGGGGGCCAAGAAGAAGGTGGTTGATGCCTTTTCTCAGAAAGATTGGTGTTCTGAGAAAGCACCAGCTATGTTCCGTATAAAAAATAGCGGGGAAACTCTCTTCCTCGGGACTCCAGGAGCCAAAGTTGCATCTGATGGCCTCAAGGGCCAAGTGTTTGAGGTGAGCTTGGCTGACCTACAGAAGGATGAGCTTGCCTTTAGAAAATCCAAGCTAATGACTGAGGACGTTTGGGGCAAAAACTGCCTGACCACCTTCCATGGAGTGGATCTCATGCAGGACAAGCGGTGCTCCGTGGTCTAAAACTGGCAGCCCGGGATGGAAGCTCATGTGGATGTCAGGACTACCCACAGCTATCTCTGGCCGTCTGTTTTGTGCTGGTTTTAATGAAAAACACAACAGTCAGATTCGGAAGACCTCTTAGGCTCAGCACCCACAG